CATTTTCAACCATTTTAGCGCGGAAGTTGCCAACAAATGTCGAAAACTCGTGAATTTTATGAATTCGAATAAAATAAAGCTAGCGATTCGTAAGACTGGTTATTAATATATCTCCCGATGCTCTTCGAGTTTTTTTATTTCAAGGTGACAAATGTATACTAGTAGTTGAAGTTACATCGATTTCAAGGCGACTATTTAACCGCGACAACTCTACGCTCTGTTGTAGTTTCGCGAGGTAAAACAAAAATACAATAAATAGTACTTGTTTAATTATTTGGTCGTACAGCCCGCAAATTATGGGACATGATCCCCATGAATTGCGATAAATAAATGCTGATTGTGTTGAATGACGGACGTCGGGACCGTTTGGAGAAACAAATTACGGTCGGTAGACATTTCAAACAAATGAAATTATTGACGAAAGACGAGTTTTTTCTAGGTATTTACGATCATACGGTCATACCAAATATATACAAAATTGACAAATACACAAAGAGGTGTAATAGTAGGTCATTTTTATTTTAGCCTTAGAAATATTTTCTTTCACTCAGTCCACGTCCATGCGTGGGAATTCTATTTAGCTTCATGGTCCTTCGGCTTGTCTTCTGCTTGGAGGAAACAACAATAATTATACAAATCGTAAACTCAACACAATCAGGAAAAGAAACCCAGACAACCATGTTGTACTTCTGTTGAATACATTTTGCGTCACGTCGGAATATTGTCTAAAATAAAATATTCAATCCCAGCCAAATCTAGGTCAAAGGGTCAGATTGCGTGCATATAATTATAGATAGTTAAAACAAAAAGTATTTGAACTTTTGACGGTTGTTCAACATCTATGCACGGTTACTAAACTAGTAACTAAACTAGTAACCGTGATCTATGAAAACCAGAAAATTTTTAGTAGTCCGAATTTTTGCACGGTCGAAAATAAAACGGAAATTGACCGGTCAAAAGCAGAAGCGGTCAAGAGGTTTGGGGGAAATGAGTACAGTACTTCTTTGTTTGATGAAGCGATGCTGATGCCACATTGTCGCCATAATGAGGCCACAATGAAGCGAAGCGATAATCGCCTAACTTTTTAATGTCGCGACATTGATGCGACGATGAAGCCATAACAGTGCCATAACGATGTGATGCTGAAGCGAAGCTGACGCTGAAGTGAAGCCAAAGCTTCCGCGAGAACTGTACTGTATGATTAGATAAACAAACTGGTTTGTACAACCCTTACAACCCTAATATATATATATATAATAGTTTTCAGCTTTTCCATCAATATCTCAAGTACAAGTAATTTTGAATTATTTTTAATGTGTCTTCAATACTCTCAGCACATGGGAGTTCTTTCTAAGCTTTCTTTGATCTCTACTTATATCAAACGCAGCAACAATGTAGTGTGTGAAATATAATCACATAACTGATAGTGCTAGCATAAATACTTTATGCTGACATTTCAAGCTTTCGATTCATATCTCACTAAATTGTTACTACACGCAGAAAAAAATTGTATCATGAGAATACCCCTCAATGTATGAGCTTAGGCAGTACAGAATCGCATCAACCTCCACTGCCTTTGTGCATACTTTATGGTATTCTTGTAATATTTATGCATATACTAATTACATATCTGGTCCTAGGATGTACTGTTCGTAATGTGTACATGTGGAATATTTTGGTTGTACACACACACAATGCACCATTATGTGAAGTTATCTCTCTGAGAAAAAATTAACTTAAACTAAAACTACTACGCCGAGTAAGCTTTCAACAGTTTCACTATGTTCTATTGTATGCAGTCTTGGTGTTGAACCTGTGGATAAAGATGTTATAAGAAAGCCACCCCGAAATGTTCAAGACCCCATGATAACTAAATCACTTATATTTAATGTCATCATATCAGCTACTATCATTGTGACTGGTACACTGTACGTGTTCTGGAGAGAGGTATGTACACCGTGGCTTTACGTAAATATACCAAGTTTCACCCCAACATTTGAGCTTATTGTAAATGAGTTAATACATCACCTGCTGAATGCCTCCATGAATAGATAAAGTGAATTGGGAAAAAACTGCATCAGCAGGTTGTGTGTTAGCGGTTGACTGCACAGATGTTTAATATCTGATTTTTGTGTTTAATACCAAACTCTGCACAGTCATGTTTCAATACTTTAAATAATTGTAGTCAACATTTGCGGAGAAAATGCACTCGAAACAAACTCCTTTCAATCAAGTAACACATTTGATCTATTATTAGGTTTTTACCTTGCCCGTACCATCAAAGATGGAAGGGAAAGGTACATTAAGGGAAAAATTTTGTCGTCGTCGTTGTTGTTGTCGTCGTCGTTAATAATTGTTATTGTGTGCATAATAACTTTACTAATTCTATTCCAAACTTTATCAAACTTGGTCACCTTATTCATCAGTATAAAGTCTTCCCTGAGTTTGAACAACAGATGTCCTGTATGAAAATATCATACAAAAATTGAGAAAATCTGATAAAATATTTTGACTGTTTCTACTTGACTGATCACTGGTGATACACATCAAAGGTCACTGATCTCAGTGGAAATATGCATTGTTGTATGTGTTCAATGAAGCAAATGATTTATCTTGTAATAATATCCTTGGTAATGTATCTCAGATCCC